ATTTTCTGCCCCTCTCTATCAATGGTGGCTTCTGCTGGAGGGTAGATGAGCAGGAAACAGACTACTGACACCTGTCTTCCTTATAAAACCTCACAGGAAGAACTAGATGCAAAATTGCTGCTGGGGGAGTAGCTCTGTGACAAGTTAATTAATCTTGATCTTGTCCCAGACCCCAATAACACCTGCCTTTGAACGCCAAGACACCTCCACCAAACCCAGCACACTTTATGGAGAGACTGAATGCCCTCACCATAAAAAATGAGGATGCTAGCTATTGCTCCTCCACCACCTTCATTACCGCCCATTTTTATTTAATAAACCTCCATCAGCTTAAATGAATGGTTGTTATTAGTTGAGCTAACAGCCAAATGATAATGCTCCAGAGAGATATCAGTGCTTGTTGATGCATTAACGAAAAGAGGAGAGGGGCCGAGGTCAAGCACGTGTCAATGCAAATGAGGCAATGGGAGGCACTAATGGTTTAATGCAACAAAATGCCTCAGATAATGGAATTTACAAGATTAAAAGGAAAGAGATGAAGTTATTGATAAGTATATTAAAGGAAGAAAAGGCGATAAGATGTTACAAAGGGAAAGAAATCCTCTCTCTGCTTGTGCGCTCCTGCTTTCAAAATATCTTTACATCTCGATGATGAAATTAACAAAACAAAACTTGAACAGGATCAGAAAATGGGATTAGAAGCAATAATGAAAAATCTGGCTGAGTATAATGCTGAGCACTTTAAAGATATACATGCTCATAAAGTGTTGCTTGCTGTTCGTTATTTGAACATTTAGAGTGTCTCATTAAGAACTATCCCCATTCAGCATATGGGGGAAACTGAGGAAACCTATGTAAAGAGGCGCTTGCATTAAAACAGCAGCAGAGGCAGAGGAGTTAAAGGTCCACTCCTAGGTTATTATTTCAACTACATATATCTCTCACACTGTGCTTGTTAAGATCCGTTACAATCTTTTTTCAAACAGCTAAAAGAAATGCCACTTTCATATTATTTTCATTGCAGGAAGGTGGGAGGTGGCAGTGGCTATGTCCTATGTCTTTAAGCACACAGCAGCACACAATAAGGAACCGTGCTGATTGCTCAGTTAAACAAGGTTCATCTCATGTTGCACCTCTCATTGGGAGGTTTGGAATGTGAGGAGAGGGCTATGGTTGGAAGTTGGTGGGAGTAGGAGATGCTGGAGAAAACCAGCAGTCAGAAAACAGGAGGGGAGTACAGACCAGATGGGAGTCTCTGTACACCAGGGAGGGGAGCAGTGAATATGCACCTTGTCTGCCCACATGTGTGCACCCACGGCAGCCAATAAGGGCCCTTGAGGGTAACAAGGTACTATCATCCCACTCCAATCACTCTGGCCAGAACAACCAACACATTCAACAAGGGAGGGGTCAAATTTGGGCCTAGCACCCATTCCCCACTTTAGTGTCAAGAGGCACAATTCACAGCTCATGGAGGGAAGGAATGGCTGGCCTGAGCCTTACTGCTCCACAGCATCCTTCTAACAGTGGCAGCAAGGGAGGCTTTCAGCAAATTCAGGTGACTTGAGGAGCCAATAGGGGCCCCGCTAGTCTTATCTAAAGAAAGGATTAGGCTTGGCTCAACAGTCAGAGCAGCTCTTCTGTGTTGACTTGCCCTCTTTGTCTGACTGCACTAGAACCTGACCACCAGGCCATCTTAGATCATGTCAACTGATTCTGGACTGACTTTCCTCTGACTGCTCCTGAACCTGAACTGCCTGAACACATTTGTCTCTGACCCCAGCAGGCCCAAACAAACAATCCTTTGCCATTAAGAATGGATGAAAGCTCATGGACAATCCAGCCGCTTTCCAATTTCTTTTTCACAGCACCGAGCAAATAGACTCTGCTTGACCCAAACTGGTAGAAATATCTCGCAGCTTAATAAGGTAGGCTCTGAAGCCAAGGTTCAAATATAGCAACAAAAAGGTGCAGTGGGAAAATCTGCCATGCTTCAGGGCCTGCCGTGTCAGCACAACAATAGGAAATGAGCTAATTTGACTGCAAACAAGGCTCCCGTTCTGAACAAATTATCTTTGGCTGAACACATTCCAATCGAACGCAATAGAAAACTGATGGCTCCACCTGTTCAGTTCTGAGAACGGAACAGAAGGTGGCAGCAATGCAGGCTTTGGTCCAAGAAGCAAACATCTAACTCAGGGGGGAACTCTGAATGCTATTATTCACCTTCAGATGCAGAAATAAAGAGCTATGTGCTGTTTGTACAGATGCAAAAAAGCCACAACAATGACAGTCAACACAGGAAGGCTGAGGAACCAGCCAGAATCATTCAGAACCAAATGCAGCAGTGATTATTTGCCCCTCTTCAACGAAAACAGCAGAATTATGCAAAATATGTGATGGCTTGCTTAGTTTTTACAGTTCATCAAACCTAGCTTCTCTTGGGTAAATGTAGCACCAAATCTTTTATTTTTATATATAGTCAGAGCCCTGATTACATTAGCAACTCCACACAAGATTCAGACCCTTTAATCACCTTGGCTGCTCTTGGAATCCTTTCAGATCAGCAATTATCATTCTACAACTATGCTGCACAAAACAGGATTTCAAAGAAAATGTCGTCCAGATTGAAGGTAGTAATATGAAAGCTTCCTAAGTTCTGGAGCCAGCTCACCTAGATGTCTCTAGCCCGATCCACCCAGTTATGGAGACTTTATATACATGGTGGTACAGGAGAACTTCTGTGTTTAAAACATCATACAACCATGCTATCCACCCCCCTCCCAATTTTGCAAAACATAGATTATGCACATTGGTTATATGCATACAGAGAAATACACTGCTATGCACACAATGGGCAGGGCATATGCATGAGCATGACACGTTTCCCTGTATATCTGGGGGAGCAAACATGGTGCTCTCTGGATACTTTTGGGACTACAAATCCTTACCATTGGTCATGCTGCTGGTGCTGCTGGGAATTGGAGTCCAACAACATCTGGAGGGCACTATGTTTACTACCCTTGCTGTACCTCGGGCTACAGACGCTTCAGGTTACAGACTCCGCTAGCCCAGAAATAGTACCTCGGGTTAAGACCTTTGCTTCAGGATGAGAACAGAAATTGTGTGACGGCAGTGGGAGGCCCCATTAGCTGAAGTGGTATCTCAGGTTAAGAACAGTTTCAGGTTAAGAACGGACCTCCAGAACGAATTAAGTTCTTAACCCGAGGTACCACTGTACTTCATTATGCATACTGACTACGGATTGAAGATGTTGGGTGAGAAACTGGCTTGGAAACAAATCACTCCTATTGATGCAACTGGAAAAAGGATTGGGTTTTCATCCAAAGCATCACACTGTTGATTCATATTCCATCTGTTATTCCCCTAGAGCTCCCAAACCCATTTCAGAAGCACTACTTCCTACTCAGTAATCCCTCTCCTCCACCCCCAGCTGCCTTTATGTTTTCTTCTATTCCAAGTCCGCTGAGAGTCATGCCCTGAGCAAGTATTCTTTTTTGTTCTTGCTTCCCTGCGGCAAAATACAGCACAAAAAGCCCGACACAATCCCTGGAATGAGACAGGCCCCTGTCAATGCATCCTAGGCCACCGGGTGTTACAGGGAGGAAATGCACTATGGATAAGTCGCTATAGACACAACAGCCCAAGATGATTCATGCAAGCAATATGCAGAAGAATGCACACTCACACATGAACATTGGGTGCAAACAGAGAGTAGGGCACACAAAATAAGTAAGGAGGTGGGAATAGGCTGGTCTAGCTAATTCCAGCCTCCCCATTCACATCCAACTCACCAGGAACCTAACTTAATAATTTCTGCTCCTCCTTGAGGTAATAAAAGATGGAGTCCCTGGCCCCGCATGCCAGCATAAACATGACGTTTCATAGTTAGCAAGTTTGTCTTTTCAGGATTTATTTTCCAGCCTAACTACAGGACATTCAAAATTCCAAAATTATTTTTGCTGGGTTCATTCATTTATAAATGTACAGAACTGTACCCAGATAATCTGCAAAGATCACCCCAATAAGTTTTAAGCTGGTGTCACAAGCCAGCAGCAAACACATATTTTTCTTCATCTAGATTCAGATAAACACCAGCCGTCACCAAAATACCTTTGCTGCTATGCTCCTGCTTCTGGGAAAAGGTTGCCTTTCTTACATTAATAAGTCTTTCCAGAATTAATCATTGTACATTAGAACCAGCTGGAGTGTTTTGAGTGATAATGAAACCTGTAACAAGCCATCTTCAGACGTCTTTGCCAAACAATAAGGGAATTAAAATTTCAATTTAAATGCAGAGGTTGGAAACACGCTTCAGTGGCAAAATTACTTCAATTAATGTGAGTGGAATACAAAGAACAGACTGCAGAAATGTGATGCAGCAACCAGAAATTATGCCATTAATGTGCTTGCATCAAGCCCACACAATGACTGCAAAGGTCTAATTTAGACTGCACATATCACAGAGCTACAGGCAACAATATTTATCAGCTCTCCCATTTCAGCACATGAGATATCAGTGTCTTTGTTGGATCATTTAAGGCTTTTGATAAGCCAACAGCTGTTTACCTTGAGGACGAAGGACAAGAAACATTATGCATCCCTGACAGTTTAATAATTATTTTATACACCACTCAGATCATACAATGAAAGAGAATGGAACTACCCAACAGCTAGAGCACAATTACCGCATCTTTCTAATGTGGAGACACAGGTAGGCTAAAGAAGGCTGACGCCAAGGAGCTCCACTCTAGAGGCATTTAACACACTGATGCAGCAAAAATTATCTGTGCTATCAGAAAAAAGGGGTTGCAAGCCTACACTGCTGAGTCAGTAGAGAGCAAGAGCATTTCCACAAATCAGAGAAGTCAGTCCACTATAGATAAACCAGTCTGAAGTCTGCCTCACTTTTCATAGAATTGTGGAATTGGAAGGTACCCCAAGGGCCATCTAGTCCAACCCCCTGCAATTCAGGTGTCTTTTGCCCAACGTGGAATTTGAATCCACAACCCTGAGATCAAGAGCCTCACGCTCTACTGACTGAACTATTAATTTTTTTAATTTCAAAAAAATTATTCACCACCCGATTATAAAAAGCCTTGAAGGAGTTTACCAAAAGATAAAACAATAAACTTGAGGGGGAAGAATCACAACTGTACTTCAAAACATACAAAAGTTAACATACTAAAAATTACCTCAACTTTCTAAACATCAGGGTAGGCTTGTCTAAACAAGAATGTTTTTAGCGGGTGCCAAAAAGAGTACAGTGAATACGCCTGCTTGATCTGAATAGGCAGGGAGTTCCAAAGTGTAACTAAACAATTGAGTTCTTACAAATGCTGTTATTATGTGGCACATGTAGCAGTGCCAATTATGCAGATTAAAGTGGCCAAGTGGGTACATGTGGGGTAAGGCGATAGATATATAGCTACGAAATGCATAATAGTTAATGACTGTGGACTAAGACCAGGACTTGAACGTGGAAGATCTGCATTCCACCTAAGCAGTCTCACTGTGAGATGCAACACAACATCTTAATAGCTTCATAGTTGAAGGGAAACAGCAACATTTGGAAAGGAACGTTGGAAATTAAAAGTGTTATTTAATAAGGAGTAAACCGAAGATGTCAATTGTTGACTGGTCACAAGTAACACCTCAGGGCCATCTAACATATTACACAGGTTTGCCATCAAGGGTACCCTCAACAAAGACTTCAGCCAGTCACTGTCCACTGGTCAGTGTACTATGATCAAATGTCTGCAAATCTGTGTCAGTTGCAGTCACATATTGCATTATTAGCTGCACATTTTTAAAAGTATTTCCAAAATGAAATGGCTGGAATGACCCTCAAAACTGTTTTTTAAGGAGAACCCAAAATTAAATAATTTATCTGATGCTTTCCAGTATGTCAAAAGCTGACCGTGCTATTGCTGCTCTCTATCAGGAAGCTGGGAGTTCTTCAGCCATAATTTTGAACAGACATGTGCAACTTAAATTCACATAACAGCAGTGATAGATGATCTTTAATAAGGCACTGACACATATGGGATAAGCAGAGGTTTAATTTTTTGAGCATCATATTTTTCGAATGCTTTGAAAACAAAATTAGGAGGACAGGGCAAGTTAATTTAGCAGAGGAAGGGAGCATCATGCAAGGAGAAAACAGGAGATGTGAACACAGAGGGGCAAATTGAGTAAAAAGGGGAGCAAAAATTTGTGCACTCAAATTACTACTTTTCCCCTTTTCACAAGGATACCTGCAACACTTAGGAACTGGATCATCAATAAAAGGTTTACTTCTCAATGGCCCATGGAAAGCACCAGATTTCTGATCAACCACAACAATCTAGTTTTCTACAATAACACTAGACTTCTTCCATACTCATTAAGGATATCACTGAGGAAACATAATTACAGAAAGCCTGTTGCCTAAATATATCCTGAGTTAAAGCAAATACTGTTCAAATGAGGATCTTGGGACAAACAAGGAAAGCAACAGGAGGGACAATGCAGAGACAATGCAGATGTGATCATTGCAACTGCAGAAGAAGAGTCATTCTGAAATTACAATTATGGCAAAGTGAGAGGTAACAAAATGGAAGAGTCTGTAATAGTCTATTAGAGTGACACCTGGAATATGGACACGAGTGAGACAGAAATTTTTAAAGCAGAAACAGCAGCCAAGGGCTGAGAAGGCATGAATCAAGGTTAAGGACACAGGGTCAAAGTCAGCAGAGTTTTCAAAGCAACCAAAGAGGTTAATAGACTGAAGATAAAAAAAAGGAGTGAGTGACAGAAGAGGGCAAATGAGACAGGCAGAGAGAACAATACAGTAGGTGAGTAAATGGCAGATCTAATTACTCAGACCCAGATAGCAAATCTAGCAGACACTTATCGGACAGCTGTCTGTCAAGCACCAGCTATCACCTCTTACCAGCATATCCGTGGCCGTGAGGTAGTGCTTGCTAGCCATGCACTGCTGCAGCTTCTGGGGCACTTGCTTGATGTTCTCAATCTCATCCAGCAAATTCAAGACGTGCTTGTGCTCAATGCCTTCAATCCACAACTTGCGCAGCTCATCCCGCTTGCAGTGCAGAAGCATCTTGCAGGAAAGCAAATTCTCCTTGACCTGGAAAAAATACACTACAGCAGCTCAAGTGAATCAACAGACTTCTGGTTAGAGCAAGCCTGCCCATGTCAAATCATAGTACTAACATATACGTTAATAGAGATTTTGGTTCTACGGTCCAGCCCTTATATAGCCCTAAAGGAACCACCATGTGCACAAGAGGGAGGTATGAGCAGGCTTGGGGGGACCCCAAAGTTTGCAAAAGTAAAAAAGGTATTGGGGGGCTCTCAAGCAGGGGGGAGATCCTCCAAAACATCCTTGTAACTGAGCATGCCCATTGGTCATGGAATACTGACTGAGTTTGTGGTTCACGTTACAGAAAACCAAGAGGGAGGGTGAATGAAATGGAATATCCTGGAAAGAGTTCAAGGTAGCCGTGAGCACTCCACATTACAACATGATTTTTCAGGCCCCACATGTAAAGTATATGAAGGCCCTCAAGGTTGACTTGCCACTACAAATTAGAATTATCTACGGATCAGCCTCCACACTCCAGACCACGATATGCTGCAACCTAGACTAACAGGGAAACACACACACACACACACACACAATACTTTTTTCAAATCTATAGCCTGCCATTCCAAGAAGGTTCAGGGTAGGTAGCAACGGATTAAAAACTGCCAGCGATTATGGATTAGGTGAGAAAGGTGAAACCAATGGTTGGCTTAGTTGCCCTTACATCAGAGAGACGGGGCAGCCTTTGGTTATCATTGTCCAAGTTCCTCCAGTCCTAGACAGGCAGAACAGGCAAAGTCCAGATGAAATGGGGAGTTGAAGCAGCGGGAGTCTAGGAAAACAGAAGCTCAGTGACCTGAGAAGGCAGTAGACCAAGGACCAAAGAAGTTTTAAGATATGATGGGTAGGAATTTAGCTAGATAGTTCTTCAGAAAAATGGAGATGGCTTCCATTTCGAAAAACAAAGTTACTTTCTAAAATAAGGTCAGAGGAAGGTTTCGAAGGAGAGAAAGAACACAAAATAAGAAAAAAGTAGAGATGAAGAAGTGATGAACTACACATCAATTTATAGCCTGAGGCTGCAAGCTTCTGGCCATAATTGAATTACAAAAACCTGAATGAAACAGTTAAAAAAACATTATGCTAAAACTCTCAACCTTAGATGCAGATCTCTCAACCCTTCTCCCTAAAGCCAGTCTACACAGAAAGATTTATGACACATTCTTGCTTATGCTTTAGCAAATTTTCATTGGAAGGATTTAAAACACACATACAGTAAACACCGGACATCTCTCTGCAAATTCCTGCTCTCCAAACACAGATACAGACAACTGACTTCTGGAAGCAGCAGCTATACATTGGTATATCCCCAACATGGTACAAAAACTTTTTCTTACGAACAGCAGTGAACAGCAAAGATGGTTGGTTGTGTATGTGCTGCTTAAGAACAGAAGCAGAGTTGTTATAAATTAATTAAGTAGCAGCAACACAACGTACAAGGCTCAGTAAGAATTAGTACTAAGCCCAGCTGAAAGCAATGGAATTGATTTCCCTAACTTTTGTTGGATTATGTCCAATTCCTTCTAACTCAGAAACTTCAGTTCTCCCCCTTCTGGTCTTGCATAGAATGCAGATTTCCCCCTCTTTAACAGGTGGCTGACAAGCAAGCAACACCTCCTGAGTGGGGTTGTTATCAGTAGGCGGGAAATGAAACAGGTTGAAGCACAAATATGGAGACATGTCGATGCACAAAAATGTGTTTTAAGGGAATCTGATCTCGTACACCTCCACACTGCTGCTGCTACGAAAGCCGGCAAAATGTAGCTTGCTTTCAGTGGAAAAGGCCAACAATAAAAACAAAAGTTCAGAGCTTTTCCTTGCATTGGCCAGGATCCAGAGAACTACACTACTTCCAGAGAACTACTCTACAGTACTAGTTTTATACCCACAAGAGGTGAACCATCCCACACGGCCAGCAGCTTTTAACGCTGCAGGAACATGCAAAGCCAGATCGTTGTTAGCCAGAGGACTCTGTTATCTAAAGTGCACTTGGGACTGGGAGTCACATATCCCACTCAACATTCCTGAAGTAGTTATTTGGATTCCAGCTACTGGATTTTACAGCAAGGGTGAGTAATCTCCCACTAGAGGTTGTTGGATTCCCACTCCCACCAACCCCTCCTAACATGGCCAATGGTCAGGGGTGATGGGTGTTGTAATCCAGGAACATCCAGAGGACCACGGGTTCCCTACCCCTGGATGCCACTATAGCACCAATCATACAAGCCCCATACACGTAACAGAATGCTAAATCCAAATGCCCACACAATACTAACACATAATGGGAAAATAGGTCCAGAGATCAACCTTAGAGCTACTCAGGAAGTTCTCTTCTAATCTGGCTTCAAACTTTTGCACCTTAGCCGATGCCAATCAAGACTCAGGAGCCAATTCCACAACTGCAAGGAATGTTTTGAGTGGTGTACAAACTGTGGCTTCATTTATGGAAAGAAAGCTTAAAGCAGTGGGGGCCAACCTTTTGTTAAGTGTTAAGGATATCAAGTGGACTAGGAAAAGCAGCCACCATTGTTCTCTTAACAAATATTAATCAAAAACAAGCTGCTTTAAATAGCAATCACACCCTTCTTCTGGCTAGCGACAAAGAATGTGCTTTGATATGTTTGGAGGTATGGTCTTCAAGGAAATAACTCTGAGCATGCTCAGAAGGCAGGGAGGGCTGCTCTTCAAACAGCCCTACTTAGCCCTACAGAGGCTGAAAGTGCCCTCATAACAACAGGAGGGAGAGGGAACCCTCACAACAAGGGCTGGAAAGCTAACTATCCCAACACTCAAATTCCACATCATTTTTTCTGACCAGGGAAGGACCTCTTTGTCACAGTTATACTTTCGGATTAGGACTGTATAAGTGGTGCAGACCAATAGTTTGACAAAAATGTCTGCAGAG